GAATTTTCTTGTCCCGCGGATCCAAGATGGCGACGTATCCACCGCGGAGGCTGCTGGGAGCAAGACCTTTACCCCTTGACCCCCGCCGTGACCCCCGTCGCTCTGGCTTCCCTTAAGGCAGCAGCGAAAGGTGGGAGCAGCGATTGTGGACCAGACACAGGGCTGGGGGTGAGTGGGCAGCTTCCGTGCTCTTGTAAGTAGGGAGGGGGAGGCCCCTTCACTTTCTCACCACCCTCACCGCGGCTATACTGTGTCTCTGACGCAAGGAGCCGTGTGGCTCACTGTGGCTGCTAGAGCTTGCGGGGCCTCTGCAGCCCAGGCCCGATTGCTTCTCCCAGAGCCCAGGCTAAGGGGCCGGGGTCCAGGGGCGGGGAATAGTGAAGTAACATGGGTCCGCCCCCCTGGGGGACTCAGAGCTTGTTTGTGTTTGGGGACAGCCCCCCCCCCGCACGTCCTCACGGAGCTGGTTCCTAACTCCTACCTTGAGTAGATCGGATCGTTGTCTCTTCCGCAGATCCTGCATCCTCAGGTGCCGTGTCCGCACTTCGAGACCCCGCAACACGTCACCGTCGCCTCCTGAGAAGTGAGTTTCCCTCTGCTGAAAACATTGGTGCCTACTCGCTCCCCCTTCCTTTTATTTTTAATTTTAGCCTGATAGTAGGAAGTACTAAGAGGGAGCAGGTTTTAAACACACTGTGGTGCAAACTGACTTCAGCCGAATTATTTTTACAGCACTTTGTCTAGCTCCCACCCCCGGCCCCCTTGTAAGCCTGAGTTACCAGCTGTGCCACCGGTGAGATCGTTTGAAATTATGACTTTGATGGAAACTTGAGGGAGTGAAGTCTCTGCTTTCCACAAAAATAGCTGTCATTGAAAATGAAACTAAACTGGTTTTCTTTGCAGTAATCTCCTGTTAACTCTTTTTGTGTCCGTAAACGTCATTTTTTATAATTAATTGTATTAGGTATTATGACTGAGAATAAATCCCCTGATTATGTTTTTTGAAACTGTAGTTTTATGTGAAAACTTTTCTATTTCATTGACAATTTATTAATGTAAAAATAATTGATTTAAAGTTAATAAAACTTTTATGCTTTTTAAATAAAAATCACCTTTTCTTCCATAAAAATCATTGTAATCCAATTTAAATTTATCACTGAAAGCCAAAGGCAAGAAACAGCAAGTACAGTGAGCTTACTCTGAAATAAAAGGTTTGTTGTTTTTTTAATACAAGGTAGTTTACTTATTAGTAGATGTATAAAATTATTTAAATTTCAAAGGGTGCTGGTGTAGCCAGTAGAAAATGTATTGCATCATCATTCGTTTCATTAAACATTCTCACATGCTCAGTCACTGTACAACTTCAGGAAAGTTGACATGGTAATAAAACATTTCTTTGTCTTTTTCTCCCTCTCTTCTTCCGATGGTGTCCTCTTTCCTGCCCTTTCCTAACTCTTCTGCTTTCTCTTCCTTTCATATTAGCATCCCATATAAAATAGCATGTTAAAATGTTGGCTGTGTCTCTGTGTATGTAATGCAATGCATATAGTACATGAATATATGCACATATAAATATATATTAAGCCTGTTAGCCTAGCTATTAATAATTTTGAAAGTATCACTATTGATTTGGAGACAGGCTGGCATGATAAAAATAGGATACAACTATATAACATTAAGTATTACCATTTTTATCTGTTTGACTTCTATGTAGTACTTTGTTCAGGCCAAAAAAATGGGCCTTATTCTTTTTATCTCTGTATTTACTTAAAAAGCACAAATTTTAAATAGCATGAACATGATAAAGATAGAAAAATCACTCCTAAGGAGACAGTTCTGATTTGAGAGTTTTATTAGTTGGGTTTTTACTGGAAGAGATAGAGCAGAAAGCATTTTCATAGTAAATGTGTAGGGTAGGGGTAGAAAAAATATATCGATACTATTGGTTTCCTTTGACAGATTTTCTCTTACTGGAAAATATTACATACTGATTATGTATTTGTGTGTTTTTGAAATATGTGTTAAATTTTTTGTGTACCTCAAAAATTACTTAGGTTGAAAAAAATGTTAAGGGAAAAATTTATACAATTTATACAATACTTAAGAATCTTAAATTTTGAGTAGTGATATTATAAAAGTTTAGTAGTAAGCCCAACAGAGTGACAAAATATGTTGCACATTAGTGTAGTCTTCAGGAGTTATTTTAAAATGTGATTATTTCTTGATAGTACTGAGTTCAGAGAAATGGGGGCTCCTTAAGCCGCAAGAAGTAAGTTTCTAGAGTGCAGTTTTTCTGGTATGTTTCAAAAACCTGAGCCTGTGCTTTTGTCCCAGCAGTTCCTCTTTTAGAAACTGTATCATAAGGAAATGAATATGTGTGTAAAATTGCAAGAGTGATCTTTACTTCATTGTTTATTTGTTAGATTAAGCAACATGTACACTATAAAGAGTACTCAGCCATTAAAAATAATGTCTCATATTTATAGTTGAGTACAAAAAAGTTTTAAAACATAATTCCAATTTTTTAAAAATTTTAAACGTACCTAACCAAAATGCACAAGTTATTAAGTTAATCTTGCAGAGGTAACTAGCATAGTTAATTTTTTTCATTTTTTCATCACTTTTAAGTTTTCATAGTTTTTTAATAATACTACTTTAAAAGTATTACCTGGATAATTCTGGAAAACAGCCATATATATCCACTTACCAGACCTTAAACTTTTTTTCTTTTCTGCATTCCTTAACTAAGCACCAATTCCTGTACATTTTACCAAGTATGCCTAGGATCCACCCTTTTCTCTCCAGTCCTCCAGCTGTTCTTTGAATTGTAACTTTATAATTCTCCATCTGACATTTTGAAACAGGATTTTAAAAACTATCATAGTCATGTTTTTTTGTCCCTGGGACACAGTACCTGACATCTACAACTTCAAAGAGGAAATGTTTATTTCGGCTAATAGTTTGTAGAGGTTTCAGTCCATAGTTGTCTGGCTCTATGGCAAGGCAGCATGGCAGAGAGGTAGATCAGAGAAGGAAACCACTCATTGCATGGTGGCAGGAAGTAGAGAAATTGAGGGTTGAGGGAGGGAGATTCACCCTTCCAGGCCACGCCTTCAGTGACCCATGTTCTCCCAAGAGCACATTTAGCTGTAAATGTATCAGGTGACTAATTTACTGATGAGTACCACACCCCTGTCATCCAATCACCTCCCTAAAACCTGAGTGCATGAGGGTTAGGGGGACATTCTGATGCAAGCCATATCACTGCATTAAGGTCTTGCTATGTTAAATTTTACCTCTAGTCTTGCAAACTATCACCAGATACTGCTTTTTACTGTGTATGTCTTAGAAATTTACCCACTTTGTAGTGATGCCTGTTGCCTACAGAATAAAAATACAAATTTCTTTCCATGAGACAAAATGATTTAATTAGAAAAATATATATAATTAAGAAATAGTAGGCTGGGGATTTGGCTCAGTGGTGCCACCGGCTGCCTTGCAAGCCCAAGGTCCTGAGTTCGATCCATGGTACCAAAAAAAGAAAGAAATAGTTACAGCAGCAACAGAAGTAGCACAAAAGTTTAATCCATGCAAATCATTTAAAAATATTTTTATATTAACTTATGAAATTCTTTAATATTTACTTATGAGGTAGGAAATGCTAATGTGCATATATTGTTGTTTTGTTTTGTTTTTTTTGAGACAGGGTCTCACTATGTAGTTAAGAATGACCTAGAACTCACTATGTAGCCCGGGCTGGTCTCGAACTCATAGTGATCCTCCTGCCTCAGCCTCCTGAGTGCTAGGATTACAGCCGTGAGCCACCACACCCGGCTTAATATGTATATATTTAGAGGCTATATTTTTTAATGGTTTAGAGAGAGAAATTGAGAGAATGCTCATGTGTCGGGAGCAGCTTCACTGAGTGGCTGACGTTTCATGTTGAATGGTGTCTAATTTGGATTGATAAAAGGGACAGTTTTAGTGAAGGGAATAACAAGCAAAGGCAGCTAGTTTGTAGAATACAAAGTACCATAGACTGGGGGGTAACTTAAAAATTTCCTCAAGAAGTGTTAGAAGTCTAACACAGGTACCTTTTTTCACATTTCTTCACATGATTTCCTAACTCCTTATTTATTTTTGTGATACTGGGTATTGAACTCAAGACTTCTGCACTGAGCTACAGCGCAGTCCTTTCTTTGTTTGTGTGTTTATTATTTTGTTTGTTTTTGAGACAGTTACTAAGTTGCCTACCCTGGGCTAGAACTTTCAATCATCCAGCCTTTGCCTACAAGCTGAAATTATAGACATATGCCCCCATGCCTGGCTTCCTAACTCCTTATGAGGACCCTAGTCATTGGATTACAGATCACTCATGCGACTATTTTACCTTAATTTTTACAAGCCCTGTCTCGAAATGCAATCACATTCTGAGGTACTAGAGATTAGAGTTTCAACATACGAATTAGGGGGAGAGCAGTACAATTCAGCTCATAACAGGTGTAGGCAAAAATGAGTGTGAGCCGGTTACTAAAATCTGAAGGGATTGGTGGGATTTGTGTAGGGTAGGGTGTCAGGATTTTGTAGTGTTTTAAATGGCAGGCAGAGGAATTGACCTGATGGTTTTAAATAAATCACTCTAATTCAGTCCATTCCCAGTGCCTAGTTAGCACCCTAAGATGATGAAAAAAATCACATTAGAATAGTTGGTACTAGATGTCTACACTTTGTATCATATCTGCTTCTGTCACCTGAAACAACTGTCTTATCCTGCCAAAATAATTAGACGTACATCTATAAATCATTTCAAAGTTAAAATGCCATGTAATTGTAACCTTTTAAATCAATTTAATACAATAAAATATTGCCCTATATCATGTAGAAGTAGCAACAAAATAATTACACTCAGCTTTCTCAACTACTTCATTTTAAGTCAGTATTTAACTACATGAAAAACATGTTTTCTCTGTCAGAATACCAATATATAAATTGTTATCTTTCATTTTAAAAATAGTAAAATTACCTCCCCAAAAAAGTTCTCAGGATAGTCTTAACAGTACATCAATATAAAATTAACATACAGTCATCTAGTATATTTTTGCTGGCAATGAAAAATTGATATGTTAAATACTAAATAATGGGCCAGGGATTTAACTCAGTGGTTCTGCCGCCTACCGCGCAAGGACCCAAGTTCTATCCGGAGTACCAAAAAATAATAAATAGAATAAAATACCAAATACTAAAATAAAAATAAAAATTACCTTTTCATATATAGGTCAATAAAAGGCTTATTGTGCCTCTTGAACTGTAAAGACTAGTGATGATCATTAAAATGCTAAAAATTCACCTATTTTTTTAAAAAAGCAGCTTACCCTTAAAGTACAAGTACATTCAATTTGAAAATCAAAATGAAATGAAGTAATGATTTTGAAGTCTATTCTGAAGAAAATTTCTGACTTGGGAGAGGCAATCTAAAAATCCTTTACTTAAGGTTAGTTTCATTCCATAACTCATGCTCTCAGGAGCTACTTTCGTGTTTAACATAAAATTTTCATGTTGCTTTTTTTGGCAGTTTGTTTCAAAAAGGAACCCCTTGTTGATTTATCTAGTTAAATGTGAATAGTTAGATTCTGAATGAAGATATATCATGTACAGGTACAAATTCCCTATGACGAATGTGATCATTATGTATACCTAAAATGTACCAGTAAACTTCATTAGGGGAGAAAAAACCTGTATTGGAAATTTTGTGTGAGGACAAAGATGATACCGGTTTCATTTAAACAAAATAGTTATGATCACAAGTCTGTTCAGTAAGAGACAAATATTTCACTAAGTTACCAAGGTGCCTTAAGTTGCTGTGGTTTAAGAAAAGTCAGCAACAGGTTAAGGATACCAGCATTCAACTCTGAAATCCTTCAGAATAAAGCTTTTAACTTGCTTTCCCAATCTGTAACAAATTCAGTAGAATAAAGAAAAATATTATGGATCACAGGCTTAGGTTTTATGCATATTTTTAGAAAATGCACAAAATCATGGAAGTATAATGTCTTAAAAAATTTTTGTTAAACCCAGAACATAATGGACTTTAACTGAAACGATCATTCTAAAATGAGTCTTTCACTGAAAGTGGCAAACATCTTTAATGATGCCATCATTTTGGGGAAGGGGACAAGTTCATTTGTTTGTATTCTTTTTAAAATCATCCATAAAGGTTGAAGTTACTGTTAACTTATAAAAGCATTGTATATTGCTTGAGGCTCTTTATTAAAACTTAACCTCAGCCTTTTGTGAAATCTAATGATGACTACAGTGACATAAGACATACCTAAAATATGTATGTGTACATATATTTAAACAATATTTGATACTTTAAAATGCTAAAATGACAATGAAGAAGTAAAATAAAAATTTGAATGGTTCCTTACTATGATAGCTTAGCTTAGCTTAGCTTAGCTTAGCTTAGCTTTCAAAGTTCTGCTTTCCTTTCATGGAACTTTTCCTAAATCTGTATGTTTTCTGTAGCCTTTTTTAATTGTATTCCAGATATGAATGTAAAAGTTATTAATACAACAAGTTTTGAGAATAATAGAAAAATGCTCCCTCACCTTAATACAGTATTCTGTTCTGGTTTAATATTTGTCATTCGTTTCAGTTATGTGCCAGGCATTGCATTTTGTCTGTGAAAGATGGGAAAACCAAACTGTTTTTTCTGTATCACACACTGCTAAACAAACCAGACAAGAAGTATGTGGGATTATATCCCACAAATTTTCCGAAGCAATCAGTTCTCCAGCCTATACTGGTTGAGTGTTGCCTAATTCAATTTTGACCCTACATGGACAGGATGGACAGGGCAACTTAAAGCTGAGGACTCAGTTCCCCGAGACTGTTGCCCAAATTCAGATACCAGTCAAAAGTAGTTTGTCAACTATCCTCTGTTAGGACTCCTATGGTCCTTTCTTAACATGTCATTTGCTGGAATGACTTAAAGAACTCAAACATTTTACTTACGCTTATCCATTTTTATATAGGATATTACCAAGGACCGACATGAATGGCTAGATGGAAGAGGTAAGAGAGAAAAAGGGCATGGAGATTTCATGCTTCAGGTGTGCCACCCTCTAGGTGTCTCGTGTGTTCAGCTATTTATCTCTGAATCGTTTTTTTTTCATGGAGACTCCAAAGCATTAACATGATTGACAACATCATTGGCCATTGATGAAAGTAACATCCGAAGATTTGGGTGGGAGGATACTAAAAATTCCAACCCTCTGGCCAGAGATTTAGCTCAGTGGTTCTGCCGCCTGCCTCTCAAGCACAAGGACCTGAGTTTGATCCCTGTACGCCTCCTGAAAAAAAATTCCAACCCTCTAAATCACATGGCTAGATCACCTTGGCAACCAGCTCATAACCTCAAACTATGTAGAAACCCACGGCAATGACCTAATTAGAATGAGGGACTTAAGAGCTCTGTGCCAGGACTGAGAGACAAAGACCAACCATAAATACTGTATCTATGTATGTTATTATCAATTGTAATAATACATTGTCATTTAGTTCTCAAAAGAATGATGGTTTATAGATGTAATCTGTTCTTCCCCAGTTTCATTGTATGCCATATGTATGAACTGGCTCTTTTACAGTTCAGTACATTCACGAAGGGGCCATAATTTGTATGTTTCCCTGCCAGGCAGCTCTGAACCACAGGTGGTATATGCATGACTCCCATTAGGCAGCACAGGACAGATCCATCAGATGGTACAAGCCACCCAGTGGGACAGTCATGCATGTACTGCCAGTGGGAATGTGTTAACCTGTGTGCCATGTTTCCCTCTTAGATATCTTTGTCCATGTGCTGAATTTTACTCATCATCTTTAGGATTAATCATAGCAGTATTAAAGTGACTTAATATTCTAAACTGAACATTAAAGATGTGTGACTCTCCAGTGCTTCCATCAGTCACTGTCACCTGTATAATAGATTGTGTTTTAAAATAATTAAAAGTCGAATGAATATGAAAGACCTACATGAGGAAAATTTTGATTCAAATATTGTATTCTCATTGTACACCAACCTTACAGACGCTGTTTCTCCGTTTTCATAATGCTCTTTAAGAATTTCTGTAGATACTCAATGTGATGTATTACTTTTACTATAAAGTCACCCTGATATGTGAAAATATAAAACTAAGTGTACTTTTTATGCTTTTAACACTTTTAACTATCAAACTTACTTTCTAAAAAATTAGGAAGAAAATACTTAAAATTGATAACATTAATTTTGATGTAACAAAGAGTTGTTTTGCTGAGTTAAATCATCACTAGAAATTACGGTGGTACAGGTTTATTGTGATAACTCAAAAATGCTAACTCAATTTTCCCACTAGTTTTTCTCTCTGTAATTTTTTAAACTTTTGTTCCAGAATCAAGCAGTTACAATATTCGGCCTTTCATACATGTATACATCATTCATTTATTTGCTCTTTATCATAGCCCAGCACAATTTAATTTACATACCTTGATTCTAACTGTAATATAAACAAAAATATGGACACAAGTCAAGTGTGCCATTTATTTATATCTTCCTTATGATGTAAGATATATTAATTTTAGATGATTTTTGAAATAAAAGTAAAAAATGAAAGGTTTTTATGAAAAATCTCACATATTGAAGAATATGTTAGTGCATCACCAGAAATTTAAGGAGTAAAGATTATCACCTGGAAGTTTTTGAGTGACTAAGACATGGAATTTTATCCAGCTAGAACACACAGGCTGATTACCTCGGGCAAATTGCTTAACCCCTCCAAGCCTCAGTTTTGCTACCTCAAATTTGTGCATAGAAGTACTACTGTGCCTTTCACAGTTGGAAATATTTTGGCAGATGACATATGGAAAGGTTTACAATGAAGCAAAATATTCAGTAACTAATAGTTGCTGTGGGGATAATGTTATGTGGAAGACCATGTACTCTGAGACATTTAAGTAAAAAGCATAAAAATTACTAATAAGGTATTTGAAAGGGAAGATATAAGAAAATAGAATAAGTGCTATTAGTTACAGAAACATAAATGTGCTAGCTGGCTATTACATATTTTCTGTCGAGATATGAGATAGGAAACATGCATATTGCTAAATGTTTACATTTCATACTATTGACTTGTGATGTTTTATTATGCTGCCATCTAAATATTTTAAATAGTTTTAAAATAAATATGTTAACTAATCCTTTTACCTTATGTGGTACTACACCTTTCGTAATTACTGCCAGGGTTGTTAAAGACCTATCATAGTTAGGTGTTGTGGAATCTTCTGGGAAGCTAAGGCAGGAGAATTGCAAGTTTGAGCCCACCCTGGGCAATTTAGTAACTTAGACTGTACCTCAAAATTTTAAAAGATTGAAAAAGGGCTGGGGATGTAGCTCAACGCGTGGGTTTAATCTTCAGTACTTTAAGAATTAGAAGACCTAATAGAATGACCTCACACATACATACTAGGCAAATGGTTTATCACTGAGCTACCCTCAGCCCAAAATCCATCATTTATAAAAAATACTTACAGGATAGCTATAAAATATTTGCAAAAATTCTCAAATAACTGTATTTTAATATTATAAACTAGCATCTATAGTCATAATACGGCATTTTAAAACCACTGCCTAAGAACAGTGATAGAGTTGTACTTTATGAAACACTGTGCTTTATTAACAACACTGAAGTTTCTGTTAGTATCTGTATTATGAAAATTACTACTGTTGCCATGTCTTTGATAAAGATAGCCCTGGAGGGATATACTCCCAAAACGTCTTTTCCTTTTTATTAAGCAGCCTACAATATGTAGCAGTTCTTCAAGAGCGTAAACTTTTTGTTAATATGTTTTCCACTGCTATAACAGAATACTTTGAGACTGGTAATTTATTGGAAAAATGTTTATTTAGCTCACAGTTTTGGAGATCCAAGAGCATGCATGGTACAACCTCTGCCTAGCTCTGGTGGGGGCTTTATAGAAAATAGCATCAAAATGGTAAGATTGTTGTGTGAAAAAATAAGCCAGAGAGCAGGGAGGAGCCAGTCTTGCTTTTCTACAACTACGAACTCTTCCAGAAACTGAGGTCTCATAAGAACTAGGTTAACTCTTTCCAACTATAGTACCCTCAGTCACCTAACAACCTCTCACTAGGCTCTATTTCTTTAAAGTTCTGCAGCCTCCCAGCATCATTACACTGAGAATCGAGCTTCCAACACAAACCTGAAATCATATTCAAACCATAACAACTCCCGTAGGTGAGCATAGAACAGTCAAATGGCAAAACCCACAGAGAGGATTAATTGATCACTTTTAAACTCAGCAGCTGCCCATGAGAAGATATTTGATAGGAAGTACAAGAAAAAAAATCATAAAACATTAAACTTCTAAATGGTAGAGAAGACCTGTTTCAGTCTGACCCAAAGTCTGGGAATCTTAACAAAAAACAAAAATGTCCTCTTCCTATAGTAACAGAGGGAGAAGAAAATGTGTATTTAATGCACCAGATTCCATACGTATTTATTGCACTTTTTAAAATTAAATTGAACTTACATGAATTTGTGCAGTGTCTTAAACAGATTGCAAAAAGAAAGAGAATGAGAGAGAAACCCACGATGAGTTTCTCAGTTCTTCAGTACATTAGTTTCATAAGCAACTGGTATTCTTTTATATACAAAAAAAACAAAGGAATCCATTGTAAATTAAACATAGGAAATGTGAGTTAAACCAAGTAAGTTTCACTATTAGAAAGTTGGTTGCTATTTTTAATATGTTAATATCTGCCCTAAGTGGCTTAGTTCTTTTTTTATTGAAGATTTCAGTTTATATCTCACAAAACATGATTACTACATTTGATGAGAATACTGTTACAGTCAGGGTTTACTAGAGAATAGATTTCATACAGGACACAATTTATAGGATTATTTTATAAGAATCACCCAAAAAGTCATGCAGAGGAGTGCAAGAGATCTGTCCACACAGTACAGACCTGAAGAATTTAGCCAAGGGCTTGATCTCATGGCATTATCTTGCACAAGTCCAGCTAAAGGCCTAGAGCCCAAGGCAGTGTCCTCCACGAGTCCAGCCTAAAGCCTAGAGCTTATGACAATGTCTCATACAAGTCGGTATCAAGAATCTGCACCAGGAATGCCCAAAGGCCAGCAGTGGAAGCTAGAATGTCTGTGTTGGTGGTGTGAAGGATCTGTGCCACCAGTCTGAGGGATCTGCACTGGAGCCACAAAGTGACACTCAAGGTGAAGACAGAGCTCTCCTGAGAAGAACAGCAGCCATTCCTGGCCAAAGAGGATTGCTCTTATGATGATGATAGCAGCCAAGTTCATATCAGAAAATCTAGCTGTGGCAAACTTCTCCAAGAAAATCAGCAGCATACCACCACCCCACCCCACCCCTGTTCTCCTTTTATGCCATTGGCAACTGTCCTCAAGTGGGGCTTCCATGCCCAAAGCCATGCTAACTCAGTTCAGCTGAGTGCTCCAAGTTGACCATTAGTTAATCCACCACAGATACGATATTTGAAGGTTGAGATTATCAACTTCAGTTTAAGAAATGACATAGGAAGTGAATTGTGTATCAGGGAAGATATTTTGAACAGGACCAAGAGATTTCTCTTATCCTCTTACTGCAAGTTTTACAATACATTAATGTGTTAAGCTAACACTTAGAGGTAGTACAATACTGTACAAAGGTTGATCCAAAAAAAATTGTGTTCAAAATATTCCAGTAAAAGACCATTGCCATTGATCCCCTCAGAATACCCCCTTGCTTCAGAAACAGTTATCCTATCATTCTTACCACTTTGTGAGTGTCCTCTTTCATGAGTATCTTTACAAGATATTACCGAAATTAGTGAGTGCTGCTGCCAAGTGCCATCTAACAGTAAGGCAGGCTTAGAAAAACGTGTGACCTCATTCACCTTATTCACTGGATCTGGCATCATGAAATTTTGGGCTCTTCCCCAAAGTTGAAATGACTGAAAGCTAAAAAGTTTTCAATCAAGGCAGTTACAGCAGACAGCACAACTGAAG